TTTCCCACTAAAATAATTTCAAAACATAAACATCTGCATATGGATTCTTTTCATGACTGCCCTTTACTGATTTGTCTCCCTTTTAGGTTACATGAAGAGGACGTTTTTGAAGACTGTTTAAACTCATCTCATAAAGATTTAGATAGATTAAGATTTTTTATGGTAAGTTCAAAATATATCTTTCTACAAACTGTTGAGTTAGTCTTGGATCCGTCTTACCCATTTTATGCTATCCATCGATGTCCACCTGGTTTATGTCCATCTACTATATTGCAAAATGAGCAGGTTATGTTAATTTCTTTAACATTTTAGCTGCATAAGACAACAAAAATGGGCTCAAACTTATATGAAATGTGCAGACTACAATTACATGGTCATCATGCTTTTTCAGTCAGAAATAACCCACGTTTGACAGGTTTTGTTCTGTATTTTAGTTGTTAAATTGATCTTGAATGCACTTCCAGGTAGCATTAAAAAGCTCTTTAAATGTGGCTTTGTGAAACCTGCTGATAACCTGAAAGTCTGCCCCTCTCTCTCTCTCTCTCCCTGTAATTGATTCCACACCTTTGAGCCTCACAATAGTTTTCTGAGTGCACTTAGGGGAGAGATTCAGGACAAAGTCAGCTTGAGAGCTACATCCATGTAGATCTCCCCGCGTACACACCAGCTGGCTACATTGCTGCACTGTTAGCGCCCTGGTTGACCCTCAGCTAAACATATGACTAATTGAGAGCTTGGGAAAAAACTGAGGAGAGGGAAGCAGGACGCAAGACAAAGGGTGGGGACTGGGAATGGCAGAAATGAGAAGAGGAGGTGGGAAAGAGGTGGTAGACAGTAAAGGAGTTATTAAGAGAAGTAAGAGATGGCATCTACTATTATACTCCACTATCTTTAAAGTCCTTCGTTCTCTTAAAAAATGTCACAGATCATTCATCTTTCTTCATTTTCACCCTTCATTTCTCTCTGTATCGCCCCATTTCTTGTACCAGCTGTTCACTCATCTGTTTCACTTTTGATCTTGTTTCAGATTTTTCCATCACATTCCCTCTCTACCTGGTTAAAATTTCTCCTTTCCTACCTCATATCCTTTAAACACATGTCATTTTTTCCCCCAATAAGTGTTTTTTTAATCACCCACTAATAGACGCTTCGATGACAGCGGATTGATCTTGCCCACAAATGCATAGCTGAAATAGTGATTTTTCCTCACACCGTGGATATGCAGACACAAAACATTATTCATATGTGCCGTTAAGTGGCTGCATCGCTTCGGCAAATCTCTTTTCTGCCAGCGGCAGGGATCTATAGCGTTCAGGTGGAGGAGGTCTCTTGAAGCATGTGGACGTTATCTTGAAACGAGGGGCTGGCTGCCATAGCAACCATATGATGAGGCAGGCAGGGCTATTTAAAGGAATTCAGCTGCTGCTTGCGTTCCCGTCAGCTTCACACCAGTCCAGTGAAAGACAAAGAAATAGATGTGAATGCAAGAAAATATAGATCCCTATACTATATCCACCACTACAATCTAATGTCTGGTATTAAGGCTGGAAAGAAGAGTAAAATGCAACAAATAACTCAGTAGGATTCTAAATGAAGGGTTACTTATTAACTAACAATGCTCACACATTTAATCTTGTATGCTAGGATGTTGAACATTTGTTTCATTTGTCTTAAGTCCTGATTTAGAATCTCCTACCCATGAGATACATGTTTTTGTCCACCACTCCTTAGTATTTATTCTTGTAGCACCTCTTTCTTCTCCACTGCCAATTAAATGAATCAGATTTAATTGCAGCACTTCCACCTAACAGCACAGCTAAACATGTGAATGCACCATCATTTTGGTGAAAACATGCATTTTAAATCCTTTCACATAAAATGGACAGGCACACACACACACACACACACACACACACACTTACTTTCCTGCCAAAATGGATGAACATTGGTAAAATATTTTCCTGTTGAGATATATGCAAAAATGAAATGTAACATTTAGCCAAAGCTTGTTTGCGCAATAGCGGATTTTTTTATGGTTATGTGCATATGCTTGAATTATCTGCAGAAGGGGCCACTGTAATGAAATGTGAAATAAAAAAAGCATACTTTTTCCTCTAGAGAGGTATTTCTCAGCGGACAACTGCTGTGAACATACAGTGCCTTGCATGCCAAACAGAGAGAGAGCAAACAAAGGAAAACACCATTGCTTAAATACATATTATATACATATTGGGTTGTAAGAAGATCAACACCTGAAGGAAATTGACATTTTTATTGAGTATTTTTTTTATTGAGAAATTGAGTATTTTAACTTAACCTCCTATGTGTTTCTGTCAACATTTGACTCTGTTAATGATATTTCTATTCTGCATCTTTTAATAGATATCTGAACTTGTCTCCAAATAACCACTAAAAGAAAGTTTTAGAAGTCACTTACCTGGTTCTCAAAAGATATTTTTTCTACATTTCCTGTATAATTACACAAGGAGACAATTAGTTTCTACTGCTAGTCTTTGTCTTGTGATATTGTCTACATTTGCTGACATTTTATAGACTAAACATTTAATTTTTATTGAGTACAGAATCAGAAGAATTACAGATAATGAACAGAATCGTTATTTGCAGCCATTAATAGACTTCAATTGGTCTTTCCCAGAACAAGACACCGCACCCTTAACGTGTTCCATCAGCTAAATGCCTGAGATCAAAACATTGAATTATTTGTAGGAATCAGCCTCACTGGTCTGGGCTTGCAGGGTTGAGAGGTGATTCTTCCTCTCCTATAAATAAATGCTCCTGATTTTTATGTCATTTTATCATGCTGCTATTCTGCAACATTTTAATTTGAAGTGCACAATTATTGGCGAAACTGACGGTGTTCTTTTATTACTCAGTCGAGCCCAGCGTGCAATTGCATTGCCTGTGAGAGCAGTCAGGAAGATTTAAAGTGCTTCATAGAAGCAAAATTATGAGTGACCTCTCTCGTAACACTTCCTCTTCACTCTGCTCTTTATCTCATTCTAATCCCAACTCATTTCATATGCTAAGTAAAAGCTTATATCCCTCTTCACTGTACGTACACACACATTCCTCATTGCTGCGGTGTGATTATAAAATTTGCATAGAGGATGTTGTTGGAGCCGTGGAGTGCAGAAGCACCATAGCTGAAGCAGGGGGTTGTGGGTGGTCTAATGCTTGTCAGGTGTAGAGAGGTGGGGCAGAGACTCCCAGAATCCCTCATGTCTGGATTTATGATGAGAACCCGGAGAAAGTTCCCTCGTGTTTCGGTGTCTCTCTCCTCTCCTCACCTCCAATGGTTTCCTCAGAAACTAATTTGCATGTTCTCTTTTCACAGCTGCCACAGATGTAGCGTAGATTAAGAGAGAGAGGAAGAGGGAGAACTGACTCCGTACCCCTGGGGAGGACGCAATGAGATGGAACCACTTCTCCGCTTTCCAATGGAAAACCACTTCCAGAGTGCCATCTGCTGGCTCGGTGGGGCGGGACAGCTGGTGTTGTGAATCAGGCCGCCGCAGTCCAGGGACCGGCTACTTCCCAACACCAGGGTCTCACCTTCACCCCTCTCTTCCGACCGACTTTCACCAGTGTCTTGCAGGATCCAGTCATATTTTAAATTGGTGCATTATACTCTTTCATGTGTGATGTTAATGGTGATTAATTATTTGTAATACATGTGCTTAATTTTCTAAATCTGTCAAATTTATTTCTTCTGCATCATGTCTTCTCAAAATATGAATCAGGTAAAAGTACAACAGACAGAAAATATCTTAAATGAATTTTCAAAACTGTCCATCAAAACAGCCCATTTAAGGCATACAAGAATAATGACGTAATTTAGTTAGTAAGTTAACAGTATGTTTCCCAAATAAATTAATAAAATGTGGATTGTCTGTGGCTTTATTCTTTTAATGACTCAGAAAATATTAAGAAATCACATACTCTCATGATTCTCAAAAAAAAAAGAAGTAATTTTGCATTTGTTTGTGTTTAAAATGACTGCATTTATTTACCCATTACAGATTGTATTCGAAATCACTCCTCCTAAATAATACATTTTGACACGTTTAAAAGGACCTAATACTTTACACATGACTGGCTATAAGTGATGTTCTTAACAGATAACAAATTGTTGTAATCAATTGACACTGGGATCCCACAGGGCTCCATTGTTGGGCCTTTATTTGTTTAATTTTTTGGGTCTCTCCCTTAATGGCATTGTAAAAAAATTGAGAGGGTTCCAAAAATGCATTACCTATGTTAATTTCCAATATTTAGTTGGATTTTAAAAATACAATGAAGTGACACAATTCCGATAGGCTAACTAGAAATTTATGGCTTGATTCACAGGTACTGGATTTAGGGGGAAACCAGGTAGAGGCACATACCCTATGATGTGCACTCTTGACTTTCATGAAGAACTGATGTCTTTTCAAATATGAGACAAAATACGATGAGGTCATTGTTGACATGAAGTACACATTTTGTGAGGAACATGTGGAACAATAGTTGTTAAAAATCCTAAACTTTGTTACCCCTTGCATAAATGCTTATCCTCATTCCTTCTTTATTCTGCGCTTCAACTCTCGCAGCCATGTTACCTATTTGTCAGTTCCAGATCATGAATGTAGAAAATTTACATCAATTTTGTACACAAAACTGTTTTTTTTAAGACGTGATAAAAATCAATATAGTTTTTTCATGTCACTTTAGATTTCTTTGTCACTCTATGGTTGCATTTACCACTTCCACAGCCCCTGTTTCATTTAAATTATGTCTACTTTATTTAGTCACTCATTTTTTTGACAATGCGGTTGCCTGACATTAATTAGAATCTACTATATATCTGATCATAATTAGCACAAAAATGAATCGCCTAAAATGTTAATTGTGAACACATTGCGCAAGCGCAATGACACGCCTTAGTCCCTATGTCAACTTGTAGGTAATCAACCTGAGCAGCAGGGTCGGCACTAGATCTGACGGTGTTACGCAGGTTTATTTATAGCAAGTTTACTCGAAAGCACGTTTCATTGTAACCAAGTTAAAGAAGTACAATTTAATAACATTCGGTTTTAATTGTCAGCATGTTCCCGTCTTCTAGCAGGGTCAAACTTAACCGAGTCGCGCTAAAAGACGTCATTGGGCTAAAACTGGTGCCGCGGCGGAGACGAGTCCCGAAGTCGCAGAATAACGTTAACGTTACAGCTGACTCCGAAGAAAATCAAGAGGAAAACCAACTACAGTCAATGAAAGACACTAATGTTACACCACTCCCTTGCTGCAGTGAACACGTCCAAACTCCCTTAACAGACCAAATTTGGCCAGAAAATGTGACCGATACGACCGGTGCCATCCCCGAAGGAGAGCCGGAGGAGAATCGCGTAGGTACGCAGAAGGCGAAGGGGGAGATTAATACGCAGTCATGCAAAGAGTGATCGTGTGAGATTTATACTGGAGGGGCCGTACACTGTAGGCAAGTATCAGCAAAGCAAACCAAGAACCAGAACCAGGTGCAGATTGAACAGACTCCGAAACCCCTGCAACTTCAGACTGAGGTTTACTTGTGGCCTTTACGCCGATGCAAACAGTGCGCTGCGTGAACATACAGAGGTCCACCGCAGGGTAACACCGAGGGGCAAAATGTCTTGTCAGGTTGAGTTGAGTAGTGAGACACCCTTGGCCACAACAAGTAAGGCTACAAAGACCCGGACACCGTCGGGTCTGAAGTCTAGTATGTGCAAATCATTTGGTAGAAGATGTCAATCCAGGCGAGGACATGTTAAACATAAAACTCGTGTGACCCACGTTGCTAAAAGCGGGGACAGGGGACAGGGTCAGAGCAAAGCCAAGGCCAGGTCCACAAACAGGATCACGGTCGATATCCACCGGACTGTCAAGTAAGATGCACTTTATCAGTGCTGTTTGCTTAAGGTTGGTTAGTCAATTAGCCGTAAGTAAGCGTGTTAAGTTGCTGGGTTTGGACGCCAACATTTCTTAACTGTATTTCTGCAGGTAAAAGCATAAGCTAACTTTTGGCTAACATGCTACTTTTAGCTATAGTACAGTGTGAGGAAACGTGTGAGATGCTAAGCTAATGGCGCGGCTAAATCATAATTTTACTGTCCAAACAAATCTGTCAGTGTAATTAATATATAGGGGATAATTAAAATGTATTTTAATTAACACTTAAAAAATGGCAGTTTGAGACCACAGATTTATTTTCTATGGTGAATTAAATAAGATGCTAACTGGCAGCTAATGAGGGAACCCCCTACAGGTCAATTCAAATGAACTGCCATATTGGGTGAGACTCCTTGCACACTACTAGCTTTGGACCCTTGGGGGACCTTTACTTAGATTTTGGAGGCCACTGTATCAGACTGTTGGTTTGTTGTGACTCAGTCAGACTGGGCTAGATTTAGAGTCATTTGGTTGCTTGATAATAGGGATTGAAATGTTTGCAACTTGCATATTTCCATTGGGATAGTTTCATCGTCTCTGCTTACCAGGTTGCCATTAAACCTAGGATGCTGTGGAATTAAAACAGTGCAATGCATATCCCTATTTTGGACTGTCTCATCCACATCATGGAAATCGGTACCAGAAACTTCCCATTAAAAAATCTGTTGAAGCAGCTCTGTGCTGCTTTTTATCAGAGGTGGGGAGGTTAAGTCCTCATCATAGGAGACTTGTAAAACCACAATATACGGTTTGGCAACACTTCCAATAAAGCATAAGTCTCACCTTTGTGTGGCTCGCATGAGTTAGTTTTTGACTATGGAATGGGCTCATTGCTGTTCCTTGTGACTGACGGGTAGGTGGGGTTGGGGTTGCATCCACTGCAACTGTGGTTCTGACCAACCATTGTTGCAGTGGATGCTTTCCACAGTAAAACACCCAATAATAGACAGTAATGAACACATTACAGCTTGGTGTTATGTATTGAGGTGAACAAGACGCTGCACTTGAAAACCAAGCCACACTAAGGTGAAATTTATGCTTCAAACTGTGTTTTCAAACAGCATTTTTAAGTTTTGCAAAGAATAAAGATGTCAGACGTGTGGTAACTGGTTGATTTGGCAAATTCGTAACATCCCTAACTTTTATAAAAGCAACGCATCGCTGCTCTCCAAAGTGTTTTGTCTGATATACTGTATCCCATGCTGCGGCTTAGACTGTTCCTAATGTGGCTGACATTGGAGGGAATCCACACTGTTTAGCCAAAATAAATAAAACCACTGTACCATGGTGATAGGGTGGGCTTCTCTTTAAGCTTAATTCCATATGGTGACTGTTGCATTCACGTTTGCACTTTTTGATAGTTTTTTTTTTTCCACTTGCAGACTTTGATAGAAATACGCACCCAAGCCCAACAGGACTTGCTGATTCAGAACGGTCTTCAAGAAGAGCTGTCAGAACCTCCCACTGTGGTCTCTGTGGTGACTGTAAATACATTTCCCCTCAGCGGAAGACATTAGGTAAGCAAGGGCAAGAAAGCAGTTGCCCGGGGCCAGAGCGGCCTACCATTGAAGTTAACATCAAGAATGAAAACACTGTCACTGAGACCTCTAAGAACATTGTAATATGGATAGACCAGTACCCAAAGGTGCCACTTTGTGACATAGCCCAAAAATGTGACTTAAGTCACAATTGTGGCTACGTGTTACCAGATGTTCTCAAGACCAAGGTTGTGCATTGCTTCAAACAGGACATGAGAGCTGGATTTCAGTTTGTGCCCGGTTGTTTAGGGCATAACAAACACCAAAGTGATGAAGGTGCTCTAGCTAAAGAGTTTTGTCCCAGGGCTCAATCTGAGAAGAGTGTCTGTCAGTCTCAGAGTTTGACTAAACACCTGAATGAACTCGCTGGAGCAAAGGCGTTATCAAGTCATCCCTCATGTCGTTTCCTCAACAGTTGGACAAGTGATGACTCTGCAACCTGTTCAGCTTCTTTCTTGCTCGGTAAACGTACAAAAAAAGGTGAATGCAGGACTGGCATGTGGGACAGTGATGTTGAGGAGGATCCTGGGCCAGGATCCCATCTCATAGGGGCAGAGATTCGCAGAGACAAAAGAATAAAGCGTAGGGATAGTGTTAATGATGGGATTTTGCCTTCCACTTCAGATTTAGAAAGCAAGAGTTGCAAAAACCCAGCAAAAACAGACACTAGAGACAAAGAGAAAACATGTTTAGGGAATGCTGTTGGGGACAGCAGCAAGTTTGGCTCAGCTGTGAAAGAAAACTGTAAGAACCCTTGTGGTGAGAGAGACAATCCCACAAAATCGGATGCAGCACAACTGTCCTCAGAACGGTTCTGTCAGAGGAATGAGGTGGACACGGATGATCTGGAGTCATTCACCTGCCAGAGAGCGAGGGTCTATTTCAGGAAAAACATTTCTTCTTGTGCACGCACATACATGTCGTGGCCCTTCTCTAACAGCGTCAGGACCCTTACAGCACATGCCCCCGCTTCAGGCAGAGCCCACCAGTTTTCTAATCAAAACAAAGAGAAGCAACAAGAGGATAGTGAAAGCATTTTAGTAGACAGAAATGGGAAAAGACATAATATGTCTTCAAACTCTTCAGACAGTGCAAAATGTGCAACTCACTTAATGGAGGCTGAAGAATCACTAGCCAGCCTTCCCTCAGATACGGCTACCCTTTCCAACCCACGTCAGCATGGAAGAGAGCCTGGCACTGACACAGCCTCAGCCTCACCTTTGCCAGGACCTAAAACTGACAGCTCCCTGTCTACCCCCTCCCCCTCAGCACTTGGCCTGAGTGACTGGGAAACTGCCACTACTTTGTCTTCCATGTCATCTCCATTCACACATGGTGGTCTGAGCAGCCTCTCAGCCACACCTTCCTCTCTCCCACCTCCATCATTCCTACTACAGAAAGTCAAAAGGGTTGAGTTGGCTGAAGCCTCTCCAACCAAGTGCATGGTCAGAGCTGTAGGAAAAACATTGTTCTGCTGCGAAGAAACTCGAACTTCTCCTCCATACGACTCCGACTCCTTTCATTCATGTGAATCCTCCCTCCTCCTCCCTCAAGACGAGCAAGAGAGTGACGAAGATCTTCTCGCAGGCAGGAGCAAAGGGAGATCAACGCACAACATCCTCACAGACAAGTGTGCAGACATTGACTTGAATGAGTTGATGCTTCCACCAGCGCTCTCTCCTGTCAATACCCCACAAGGGCCCTCACAGACAAGCTTCCAGCACCCAGGCTGTTCGTCGTCGGAGGAGGAGGAGGCGGAGGAGATAAACAAAGACAGCAGCAAACACGAAATGTTACCTGAATGTCACAAGGCACAAATTGTTAATGGCAATAATGACAACTCCAGGGATTATATTGAACATGGCGTTGAAGAATTTCAAGGAGCCTCAACAAATCTCCCAACTACTCAAACTTCTACCAGCAATGATGAAGACGATGTGGATGATGGTAATGAAGAGGAAGACCAGGATGACCGTGATTATGAAGATGACGTGGAACAGGTTAACAAACAATCCGAACAAGTTCCCTCAGACCCTAAAATAAAGGCGACCCTTACCTCAAGTGACCTGACAGAACCCTGCTCTTCTCCCAGCAGTGATGAAGATGATGGTGGAGCCTTCAGAGAGGAAGGACAGCCACGGTCTGCTAGAGATGTGGAATCAAGTCCATCTGAAATATCAGACAGTGAAAGGGATGAAACCAAAGTAGAGTCAGCGGACAATACTGAGCAGGGCATTTTGGATGAGGTCACGGCTTATGAACAGGATATTCTGCTTGTCGACGTGGTCCAGTTTGACCCTGAGCTGTTTGAAAACCTGCCCCAGGAAAGTTCACTGAAACTGGGTCCTAGCAGGGTTACTGAGACACCAAACATCAGGCCTATTGGAGGGGTGAAGACGCAGTCGTCAGGGACAGATGCAGCATCACCGAGGTTTGAACAAAGGTAAGGTCTCATATTAAATCACATCTCCTTACAGTCACAGATAAATTATGTAGTCCATTAAAAATAAATAAATTACTTCGGCTGTGTTTCAGATCTTTCCCAGTTCATACTGATTTTCACTGCGACAGTCCCATCACAGGTATGGCCAGTGCACCAGTAGAAATCCATCTTCTAATAAATATTTCAGATTTTGTGTCATAATGTGACACTAGTTGCTCACTGGTACTGACCTTGATGCATAGACATGAGCAGATGCTACAAATCCTCAAACTGGGGGATTTTCTAGCCAGCCAGTGGCTTATTAGACACAAATGAAGAGCAAACAGACCCATGATTAGGACACTAAACACTAAATTCTGCTTGCAGACAGTTTCACAACTGATGTGCAACTCATATGTGTAACTCAGAAAAATGTGATCTGTCCCTTTTGAGAAATGGAATTTGCTCATGAGGCATTGTGTTTGATACAAAGATCATCCAGTGATTTTGTTTTTGTGTATTTTACAGAGGAGAGCAGCAAGAGGCCATGGAGACCTCAGTGTGGTAGCAGCCCTTTCAAAAGGCAGAGCAGCGCATCGCCTGCTGCAGAAAAGCAAACCAAATACATGGTAATGTAGTGGGTCTAAAGATGTGTCCTGTAGTGGACAAGGACCTCACTTCCTGGGACTGTATGTCAGGACTTTACTGGAGGGCACCAGACTCTGCAACAGCATAGCGTCTTCGCAGTTGTGGAGAAACAAAACATTAACAAGGGTCTCTTTTGCATGGATGCTCTCTGTGCCTAGAAAGAGAAGAGAGAAAGAGAGCATAATGCACATTAACATCACAAAATGAATAAATAACCAAAAGTGTTACCTTTCAGAATAACAGTCTCCACTAAATCCATGTAGTGTTTTACAGGTATTTATAATGTCCTGCAACAGCATACACACTACTACACTAACATTGGGTCTAATGCGTTACGGTTAGATGTTGTGGATGAAGTGATGGTCTAATGGACACGAGGAGTGTTTAACACACAAACTTGACCTAACAGGTTTTGTTACTACAATAAGAAGTATACTTTTATAATTTTAAATCTGTGTTGTGTTTTTGAGCAGGGTCTGCCCGACGCCAACAACAATCATGTAAACAAATTCCTGGAAAGGTACCTGTTGGCGCACGTCACATGATCAAACATTTCTTCGGCAAAGTTGATCTTTCTGCATTTTCATGCTCACTTTGTTTGTGTCCTCAAATAGGAGCCAGCCCGTCCAGACAGTGACCTCCCTGCATTATCACATCCCTCCACTTATGACCCAAAAGATTGGTGCGGGAAAATGAAAACAGCATCGACAGTGACTAATGTTTAAACTTGTGTTACTTGTATCTTGTTTGAATGGATAACCCCTCATTTTTATGTAAATGTTCAGTTCAATGTCCATTATGTAAAGTAAAAACTTCAACTGCTTTGTATGACTTATCTTTTGCTTCCCTTCTGTCCACACAGGGCCACGGATCACAAACCCAGCAAACTTGGCAGAGTTTAGGCGGCAGAAATCTAATGCCGTAAGTGCTCCATTAAATAAACAGTCACTGTCTTCCCACAGAAAAGACCATCATTTATGTTTATTAGCTATAGCATAGATTGCATTTTCTGGTTAAACTAAAGAATCTGATCAAATTGAATCACTGTTGGACAAACTACGTTTTTAACAGAAGTTACTGTAGGTGGTGTGGTATGACTCAATATCCCTGGATGCTAATCTTTAAGTGTAAGTCCATTGTAATATTGATTTGGTTGGAGGCAGAAGATCAGTGCCTGGAGATGAATTACAAGGACGCTCAGATTGTTAATGATATTTAATAAAGATGCATATTCTCCTGCCACTGACATGATGTTTTTAATTTTATTTGAGTAACGTGGCAACTTCTCTCCTCCAAACCCTCAGTACTGTAGGCAGTACTTCAGTGAGTCGCTGTCCTGTGGGTTCAAGATGTGTCGGTTCCAGCATGTGCCTGTGGAGGGGGACGAGAAGGTACGATCAAAGTGAAATGAATGTTTTCTTTGCTTGACAGAGGCATGGCAAACCATGAATACACCAGAGCAGGCCATATCTGCACTGAACATTGTTCTTTCATCAAGTAAAGTTGCTTCTTGCAAAAGCTTTCTAAAGGGTGTCACTCTGAGAGGCGACATCACCCTCTGCTGTGCCATAGCTGTAATTCCACACTGCTGCTTCACTTTTTTCCTTTCTTTCAGTTCTGCATTGATACTGTAACACGATTCACCAAAAATCCAGCATGCCTTCAAAAAGCACGTAGGTTTTCAACTTATCCAATAATTGAACCCCAAATGGACAATATTTAGAGTTAAGTGGCCATGGCTGATAGCACAGAGTAAATATGTCTCTGTTTGAATGTCCTTACTTCTCTCCCACTAAACTCTTTGTCCTCAATTTCCTTTGATGCATCATCATTCTGCTTTGCCTGTCTGACTCTCCATCCTTACATTGATCTCTTGCCCATCTTACATTGTGTACAGGAGCTGTGTTTACAGGCTACTACCAGAACAACCCACCAGGAGTGTATTTCTCCATGCCGGTGCTTCTATCACTCCTCTGGTCTCTGCTCCAGGCTGGCATGGTATCTGATGTCTTCTCTGTCCTCAGCATCAGCGTGGCCCACAAGATAGTGGTCAGTGTGGTTTTTATCCATCCTTCAACAATATTGTCACTCTGCAGTACATGTTGCAGTCCAGTAGAGGGCAGGGCATGCTATATTTTGTATGTGGAGAGAAGCACTTTGTGGTATTTTTCAAATGACCCATTACCACTAGGGTCATAAAGATTGATGTTAAACTGTATTTCCCTCTGCTTCTCTTGCTAGCCTGGCCATGAGTTCCTGTTGGCTCTCTTTAACCTTGTGAGAGAAAAAGGTCTCGTGAGTTTTGTACCTGAACTCATGCAGCTCACATTCAAGGTATCTTGATTCTGACACACTTTACTTTTCTTAATGCAGTAGGAGCTTCATTTTCTATGTTGAAGAATTTAATGTGCATATGTGTTGACAGATGGCCAGTACGGGCCTAGAGCTGAGTTTGGACTGCCTAGACTGTGTCAAAAACACTCCTGAGTTCCAGCAGACAGTCTATCCAAACTCACTTGTTTCAGTACTTGGCAACCACAAGTAAGTGGAACTTCTGTAGCCCCCACATATTGAATGCACTGTCACATCAGTCTTATAAAAGTAGTTAATTGTCATCCATGCTTATTTACAGGTGCTGGTCATATAATTAGAATATCATCAAAAAGTTTATTTCAGTGATTCCATTCAAAAAGTGAAACTTGGATTCATTACACACAGACTGATATATTTCAAATGTTTATTTCATTTAATTGTGATGATTAAAACTGACAACTAATGAAAATCCCAAATTCAGTATCTCCGAAAATTAGATTACTACTTAAGACCAATACAAAAAAAGGGCATGTACAGCACTCAATACTTAGTTGGGGCTCCTTTTGCCTGAATTACTGCAGCAATGCGGCGTGGCATGGAGTTGATCAGTCTGTGGCACTGCTCAGGTGTTATGAGAGCCCAGGTTGCTCTGATAGTGGCCTTCAGCTCTTCTGCATTGTTGGGTCTGGCCTATTGCATCTTCCTCTTCACAATACCCCATAGATTTTCTATAGGGTTAAGGTCAGGCGAGTTTGCTGGCCAATTAAGAACAGGGATACCATGGTCCTTAAACCAGGTACTGGTAGCTTTGGCACTGTGTGCAGGTGCCAAGTCCTGTTGGAAAATGAAATCTGCATCTCCATAAAGTTGGTCAGCAGCAGGAAGCATGAAGTGCTCTAAAACTTCCTGGTAGACGGCTGCGTTGACCTTGGACCTCAGAAAACACAGTGGACCAACACCAGCAGATGACATGGCACCCCAAACCATCACTGACTGTGGAAACTTTACACTGGACTTCAAGCAACTTGGATTCTGGGCCTCTCCTCTCTTCCCCCAGACTCTGGGACCTTGATTTCCAAAGGAAATGCAAAATTTATTTTCATCAGAGAACATAACTTTGGACCACTCAGCAGCAATCCAGTCCTTTTTGTCTTTAGCCCAGGCGAGACGCTTCTGACGCTGTGTCTTGTTCAAGAGTGGCTTGACACAAGGAATGCGACAGCTGAAACCCATGTCTTACATACGTCTGTACGTGGTGGTTCTTGAAGCACTGACTCTAGCTGCAGTCCACTCTTTGTGAATCTCCCCCACATTTTTGAATGGGTTTTGTTTCACAATCCTCTCCAAGGTGCGGTTATCCCTATTGCTTGTACACTTTTTTCTGCCACATCTTTTCCTTCCCTTCGCCTCTCTATTAATGTGCTTGGACACAGAGCTCTGTGAACAGCCAGCCTCTTTAGCAATGACCTTTTGTGTCTTGCCCTCCTTGTGCAAGGTGTCAATGGTCAGCTGTCAAGTCCGCGGTCTTCCCCATGATTGTGTAGCCTACAGAACTAGACTGAGAGACCATTTAAAGGCCTTTGCAGGTGTTTTGAGTTAATTAGCTGATTAGAGTGTGGCACCAGGTGTCTTCAAAATTGAACCTTTTCACAATATTCAAATTTTCTGAGATACTGATTTTGGGGTTTACATTAGTTGTCAGTTATAATCATCAAAATTAAAAGGAATGAACACTTGAAATATATCAGTCTGTGTGGAATGAACGTATACATTATACAAGTTTCACTTTTTGAATGGAATTACTGAAATAAATCAACTTTTTGATGATATTCCAATTATATGACCAGCACCTATATGACTAATTATTCTACCTTTTATCCTTATTATAAAAGGTTATCCAGCAGTGCACCCTTTCCAGAGTACCTGAATTTGGCCCATGCCATTGTAGAAGTAGAGGTTGGTTCTTCTCTTTAGTAGATTACTTTTGTCAACTTATCAAAGGTTTTGTGTTCAGTTTGTCATTTTGCTTTCTGTCTGTCAGCTTTGTACCAAGCAGGAGGACTGGAGGCGGATGGGGGAGGTTTTCAGGTCCATCTGTCAATCCAGTCAACATCCCAACCAAGTGGAGCGAATCAGCGGTCGCATTGCCATAGCACTCCTGTCTGAGAGCAAAGACAAGCTGTCACTGCCCTTTGCTGCCTTCGCTGACACAAGTAAACCCATGTTACTCTAGACTTAAAAAGGAAGTAACTGCATTTGTTTCCAAAACATGTTTCTGTGTAATTACTAATCTGACATGTCTGATTCCTGATCATTTGATTGTTCTGATCTTCAGTGTGTCAGGCTGAAAATGAGGACAGCCTGATCAGGAGCTTTTTAGGCAGAATTGGAGTCTCTCTCATGTTGAGGTACCACAAAACGCATCAATGGGCCAAGGTAAAATTACAGTCTTTGTGTATTTCACACATCTATCTCCCGTTTACATCTGATAGAATCTGTCATGGCCTGCCCGCTATCTTGAGTCAAGACAGTCCGGTAAATGATGTGTGCGCCTATAGAACAACATTAATGTGCAGTTTTTCTGAGATGTCTTGACTCAAGGGATCTTATCTAACCGGCTTTAATCTCTTTTTGAATGAAAAAAGGCCTGATCTAACTTTCAACAACTTGATGTCCATATTTTACAAAAGGCAATTCAGCTGTTTGTTCTTAAGATGTGATTAGAAACTTTTTTGGTTTTATGGTAACTCAGAAATACTGCAGGTATACAAAGATTGGATTATTTTTGTAATCATAATCATACTTTTTTTTAAATAAATGCTGGTAGACGTAAATATAATTTAAGACACAATTATGTTAAGGTATTGCCTTGTATTGTGTGTGTGTGTGTGTGTGACAAACACACACATATAGGGTCGGAGGGTGGTGGAGGTGCTGTCCATTGCAAAAATTGAGTACTCCACACTGAAGGGTTTGTTTGGGAATGAAGATGGAGCCTCACGCTGCTACCTGGTCACTGTGGCTACTGAGCTCTTCCTCCTGAGCGGCAGCGTGGAGGGAGCTCTCAACACACTCCGAGGTAACAGCTCTGACCCTGGAGTAAATTGGTAGCTGTGATTGGCTTTTAGCTGGCCTTATAATGCGTCAAAATGTAAACTGTGTTTCTACCCAATGTTTCACACCACCATGAAATATGTCATATTTTTTATTATTGTTTGAGACATTAGACTGGAATAAACAGCTTATTAAAGCACATTTTGAATGCGTTTTGGAAGCAGAGAGTGTGTTTTGATAGTACACACTGTCAAAATGGATTTTTTTTTAAAAGGAAGTAAACAGAAAAACCTAGTGGTGCATTGTATTATCACCAGTATTAAAATATATAAGTTAATGCCTAGAAACCTAAAATGACAGACTGTACTTACATCCTGTCCTGACTCATAATATATGTAGAGAATACTTGGAAGTCGGGGGATATAAAAAAGGTATAAAGTGTATTTCTGGCTACAGGGAAGTGATCACTATATTGATGCTTTTTATGTATGATTCCAGTGAATATCAATTGTTAAACTGATTTAATGAGGGATTATAATACATGTATTGGCCAAGCATGTGCACATGTACTTGACTACTGTGTAAAGATTTTTTCTTAAAAGGTCAAAGGTCATCATAATGTCCTGAAAAACAATGTTTTTAGCCATTATTAAACACCATAACTCAGGAACAGAAGGGGACATTATGACCATATTTCACAGTTGGTCGGACACTGAACAGGTGACACTTCTGAGTCAAAGGTCATTGTGAACCTCAAAAAATTTTTTTTGAAAACCAGAATGAATTGGACGATTCCACATTTCATTCGGGATGACACAATGAGTAAACAATAACTAGTACAGTAGAGGCTTTCCTCCTTCTCGTCCATTCTGCCTTTTACCTCCTGTCTCATTCTTAATTTCCTAGTTTAGGTCACTTTACCTAATTAGAGTAACTGTAACATTAGTAAACAACCATGTACAGGCCTAATGTTTATGTTTACCTGCTAAAATCCCATTCGTCATAGCACTGTCCTCAGTAAACTTGGATGTCGGGTGTCTGGCGTTGGAGATTTTGGAGGAGGTAATAAAAATCTAAAATTAATAATCTTATAGAGCACTTTTCAAAAACGGGTTACGAATTGCTTTAACAAGTGCAAAAACAATAAAGTGCATAAAAACAGACACGATAAAAGCAAGAAAACACTTAAGAGACTAAATTACACGTTAAAGGTAAATATAAAAAGTATAGATAATAAAATAAAATCAGTAAAGGCTCTCCTGTAAAAGTATGTTTTAAAGAGGTTGTATTATCCTCATTTTCAGGTTCAAAATCTTATTTAGGGATTGTACCAGAACAGGTTTACATGGTTTAATTTTCAAAAAACACCATATTGTGTTCCCCTCTTGAGCTACAGAGTGATGCATCTTACTTATACAAAATCTTTGTTGGGAGTTGCACATGTGCAGTTCCCAGGTAAGGACTACTAGCCAATCAGAAGCAGAGAAGGGCAGATGTAAGAAACAAGGTAGTGTGATCCAAATCAAAGCCGCTTCAGACTGCGACCGTAACCTAGCAGATGGTATAAGTTACTCTCAAGTCCACAACCACACAACATCATTGTTCCACATCTTACCACAAACCACTACAAAAATCATCATATTTCAACTCAATTTTACATAAAAATTGTCCAAACAATTTGAACGTTTGCTCAGTAGCTTTCACATCGGGTGTAACATTAGCATTATAGTTATAACTTTAGCTTTGTTAGCCAACGTTTACAACAACTCTGTACTTCAACAGTCTGTGAAGTTACATTGCCGTGTTTATTTTAAATATAATTCACAACCAATAAAGTCTACTTACAGGTTGTGATTGTGGATTTCCAGGCCCAAACAGAGTCGGAGTTGCATCGTCTGTTAGGACTAAACCTTGAACTGTTGCCGGTGTTCTGACGATCTATGCTGCTTTGCAGAAAAATGCTACCATAGCGCAAATCGATAGACTGGACTCTACTCTGCCCTGCTCCGTTTTCCATTGCAGGTAGTACCCAGAGATAGTACGTAGCTCGTCGTCATAGCGACGCCACACACAACTGCCGCAACTCCGACAGCTCCTCAACTCCGAAAATATTCAAGCACATTTTTGTTCCGCCATCACTTCTCATAAAACTGAAAATATTCGACATCTACACAGCTGATTTCTCACCTCAAAACTTCTCAGAAGTGGATTTAGTGATGAAATTCCATAAAACTTTCTGTTGCTGGCCTCTGTCTGGCGCAGCAATGATGATGCAGTGAATAGTGAATACTCTCTCTGACCAATCAGCAGTCTGTCGTGTTTTCAAGTTACATTTTAGTATCCCTCAGCTCGTTTGGAACCTCGACGGAGGTGAGGTGATATGAAAAAAAGTACCTGGAAGCAGGTACAGGTGCATCATTTCTACAATGGAAACCCAAACAAAGGCGAGTCGAGCCAAAGGGCCTCCGCTCAGACTAGCTTGGTTTGAGGGCGTGCCTGACCCGCTAGCTGCTTGGCAAACTTTATGACGTGTTTTCATTGTGACGTCACAAGTAAAGGAAGTGAAGGGCTGGACTACAAACAAGCTGTTTCAAGCGGTTCAGAGCAGAGCTTTCTGTGGGAGATGGGAACTCCCTTTGGGCTGGACTTTGGGCTTTTTCACTTTGCAAACCTGTTACATGCACAAAAAAGAGAAATAACTCAAAGCAGAGGGGAAAAGCCAAAAAAGCATAATACCACCTCTTTAAGAAGGGACTTAAAAGCATCACTGACTCAGCCAACCTGATTTCCTCGGGCAGGCTGTTCCAGAGCCTCGGGGCCCTGACTGCAAACGCTTTGTCCCCTTTAGTTTTCAGTCGAGGCTCTGGAACAGACAGCAGACCTCTGCCCGGGGTTCTCGGGGTACCTGCTGGTGCATATGGGACAAAAGGAAAGAGATATAACGGGGTGAGAGGCCATGAAGAGCTTTAAAAGTAGTCAATAAAATTTTAAGGCCTATTCTAAAACATACTGGGAGCCAGTGTAATGAAGCTAAAACAAGGGTGATGTGGTCATATTTCTTCTGTTCTGGTTAAAAGCCTGGCAGCTGAGTTCTTGACAGTCTGTAGTCGATCAGTAGATTTTTGGGTTAAGCAAGTAAAAAGGCTGTTGCAGTAATCCAGGTGTTATGTAACGTTAGGTGGACTTGAATACTGAGAGGAACAGGCTGCATTCTGTTCTTCTTGCAGTCGAACACAGAGTAATATTATGCTCTTAAATTTATTCCATGCACGCTCAAGTGTTTCTTCAAATTTGTCATGTTGCCGGTCTTGGCAACAATGTCCTTTCTGCATATATTGTATCTTGCTATTAGCATAAAGCCTCTTTTTACACCTCCTTAGGTATCAAAATTTGTTACCAAATGACATTTTTAAAAAGCCTTTTCATTATTTATAAAAGCATCAAGTTTTATTTAGCCAAAAAACACATATCTATATCTAGTATACCTTTTTATTCAATACCTTCCAAGTATTCACTACATCTATTATGAATCTGGACAGACATGGATGTAAATTTACACTTGACTAGTTGGCAGTGGCATACAATGCAAAGGTGGAAATTCTAGTTGTTTTTTTTAAGATGGGGCATCTTGTAGATAACCTGTTAAATAATGGTGCCTTGGTAAATTGTTCGTTTGTCTCAGAAAACAAATGGTTCCTGAGTTCCCGCTCGTGGCCGTGTGAGCCTGCTGATCTGGAGAGTAGGACTCGTGTATTGATACGTCTTGCTGAGAAAACCTCTCACAGAGACACGTTGGATGTCCTCCGTAATCTCCCTGGACTCAAAGAGCCGAATGGTGAGAGAAATAAAAAATCTTTCCATTGCCTGTAATGTTAAGAATCACATCTAATATGCTATTACATACATTTGTGTTGAGGTTCAGTGACACGTGTATCAGACAGTGCCAAGACCTAATTTGGTTGGGTTCCAGACCTGTCACCTGTATGTCTTTGTGAATGACCCATGTTAAACCTATGGACCTTCTAAACATTTCACAAGCCTTTGAATTACTCATATTTCAGGCAAATCAACTAGCTTTTTACAATAATCCATGGTTGTAATTGCTGAAGTGTTGTTTACCTGTAAGCACATTTGATTAGCAAAGGTAAGTAAGCAAAAGAACTGGACAAATGGATGTTCATTTTGAGGTAAAACCCAATGATATGTATGTAAAATCTTTATTTTAAAATGTATTTTAAAATGTGCTGACTTAAAAGTACACTGTTTCATAGGTAAGTGGAGTAGTTGTAGATATACAAAGCTAAACAATGACTCAATATATTTGCATGTAATTGTTTTGTTTTCATCAGAGATGGTCGATGTCTCCAAGTACAGTCGTCTGTTTAACTCTCACCTGCAAGTGTGCGTGGACAGACAGACACTTCCTGTAGCTTCAGACACAGTGGACTTCATGCTCTGTAAAAACCTGACAGTTGACCATGCTATGCTACAGATACTTATACACAAACTAGGCAAGCAGAACCTCTGGCTCCGGGCACGGGAAGTCTTCAGACGTAAGGATCACCTTCTGGTTTAGTGGCTGCTCCACACACACAGATCATAAATACAGTTTAGGAAAATCTGAAAGATTATTCATAACTCAGTGGTTTCACCAATGTGTTTATTCATCAGACTCTGTAAGTGCGGGGTACTACCCGGGGGTGTCGGCTCCCCCTGGTTTCATGTCACTGATCGTCCCCTGTCGTCTTGGGGAGGTGGAGCTGGCTCTCACCTTTGAGATGTTCATCACTGTCAACGCAGCGGCCATCCTCCACCTGTCAGAAACCACCACTTCCTGTCTCAGCATCACTCTTAAAAGGTAACTTGTGTGTGTGTGTGTGTGTGTGTGTGTGTGTGTGTGTGTGTGTGTGTGTGTGTGTGTGTGTGAGAGAGAGAGAGAGAGAAAACCCTGGTTGCATTATGTGTTCTGTATGAACATGATGTTCCTGCTTCCTCCTCTTCCAGGACTCAAAGCTGCGAGAGCGAGTACCTCTCAGCTGGTAGCCGCCTCCTCTCTGCAGCTTGTATCCCTCAGCCCAAACTAATCATTCACTACAACACAGCAGTGAACGCCTCACAAGAGCAAGTGTTCACACTTGACATTTCCTCTGCTCGGTGCTGGCTCCGACACAATCATTTGTGGGCCAATGAGGTGTGGACACACTGAACTGAGCAGTTATTCCCCTGTGGCCCCTTAAGTACGTTAACTTTCCTATCCCTTCATACATAAAATATGTTAAAAGATTTTTATGTTAATTCCTTGTTGTTTCCTGAGGAGTTCTTTTAGATCATTTGTCTTTGATTTATGTCACTCAGTGTTTGTGTGATTTACTATTTAACAAAGTAAGTCTGTTGGGGAACAGAGTCAAGCATAATTTGTAGGGTTGGTGTTCCAAGTATTATATTTTGTGTAAATAACATCTGAGTGTAAATAAGTATGTATTTATAATGGTGGTCTTTGACAATATTATGTTACCATATTATATTACTGATTGTCAAAACCTCAATTGTTGCTAGTTCAAGAGCTGTGATTTACATTTTCTTTATATGAAGTTTTTATATAAAAAAAGTTGTTCTGCTCCAAAAAGGCTTGACTCTTTGGTGTTTCTTTACAAAAGGAAACAGAAATCCTAAAACATATTTATATATTTCTGGAATAAAATCACATTGCCATTGTTGTTGTTTGTATCGATGGTATTACCAGCATCATTAGTCAATTTCAATGTTCTTGTTAATATTGCAGCTCTCTTCACTCACAGCAGCTGCCTGGTGTTGTGTTAAGTCACTGAGGGGATTGAAAACTTAATCTGCAACCCCCGCCCGCAGCAGAAAGCTCCATTTCCTAATAGCACATAAGGGAAGATCAATTGTCGAGGACTGGGGAGGGTAGTTCAGACACTGCTACTGAAATATCAATCATAATATATGTTGTGAACCTTTGTGGTACAATGCCCTGCTGGTTACATGTGTGACACTGATTAGCCTGATCATCTTTGAAAGGGCCAACAGTTAAAACTCTGATTAGACATTTGCACATATGTGGTGAGCTCTGCGGTCAGTTGGTTGACTAATGATGGTGCTCTGATTAATGACAAAAACCTGTTGCTTTCATGTCCAGCTGACACATAATTAGCCTCTCTAGCCTTTATTACGAATGAAGGTAGCTGCAGTTACATGGAGCCATTTTTACTGCTCCATGGAACAATGGTCACATAGTCTTGCCATTCAATGCCAAAACAAACGGCGATTTTCACACAAACCCCCCCCCACTAAATGCATTGTCTCATTTCATATGATCAGATTGAAGTCAAACATATGCCTTGGATCAGATGCCCGTCTTCTGTCTTTGTGCATAAGGGTGTTACAGAGCAACAGAACCACCAGGGGGAGGTACTGGACCGTGGTGAGACTAGTGGTAATCACAATCGGCTTAATTGACCAAGTATGTGTACACCCACAAGTAATTTCCTTGCTCTCAATGTTGCACACAGTTCCAAGAAGAATTTTCAGGAAGATAGAAATACAGCTAAAAACAAGGACAACGAAGATAGATTAACATTTAACTAGAATTTACATGCATTATAGGAACAACATACAATGCACGTATACAGTGTATGTAAAGCATGCCTGGTTAGAGATGTACAGTTGATTAAAGAAAAGTTGAAGTCCACAGAGAATTGTTCGGCTTTGTTATGACTAAAACCAATCGCCCAGCTGTTTGACTTCTGCAGCACCAGAGAGAAATGAGATTACGCAGTTGACCGCTTTTGCCAAAGATTGATATGACCGACTGGATAATGCAAGTAACGCACATGCGAACATTGAATTATTTCATTCTGCCATTCTGCCGTTTGTCATCTGCGGTACGAATTTAGTGCTGCAGCCAGTTGGAGCCCAGCTATAGTGTTGAGAAAAACGCTGCAGGAGCCCTTAACAATCGCTGAGACAGTCCTGAAAGGCAAGCTCCGGGACAAGCGAGAGTAAAAAGAGGCCCAGTAGACCCTCATGTGGTCTGGATACATGAATGTCTGTTGAGATGTTCTTTCATGCTGCTACATTACAGTGTATTATAAACCAATTCTGAAATGTTTATATAGTCCTTATAAATGCTAAAAGCAAAGTGTTACCCCCCCCCCCCCCCCCCCCACACACACACACACACACACACACCCACCCCAACCATTCAGTCAGATGATATGAGGAGATAATCCTAACATAGAACTGTTTGTGTTATTTTTTCACTGCAGTCAGAGTCATGGGCTCATCAGTTGCCTGTAGTGGCTTTATGAAGGGCCTACGTACACCATACTGCTTTCTGGAGTATTTTTGCGGGAGGAGTGCTTTCTCACTTTGACATATTAACATAACCTCTGGCATTTTTTCAAAACAATTCATCCTTTAATCTGCCTTCACTTACTCTGACGACCTTGGGAGATTGCTGTAAATCAGCTCGCCATTCTTTTATTTTTTCTGAGTCGCTGTTGTTCTTTCCTTTAACCCCGCAGACAAATGGAGTCACATTTGTGACCTATGTCAAATTAAATTAGTCTAGTGTCTCATATGATATCGATGAGATAATGACCTAACCCCACAGTTTTAAGTACTTATTTTTTCTGCACCACATTCTGCTGTCCACAGTCCCTCGCTGTATCCTCCGTGCAATAACATCTAAAACATAATTTTATCCACTATGGGTGCAGAGCAGAGCCCAAACAATCAGTCGAGTATTCAAGTAGCCAGTTGACAGAAAATCAATCAGCAGCTGTTTTGAGATAATCGACTAATTGTTGTCATTTTTCAAGCAAAAATGCCACACATTCACTGGGTTCTGCTTCTCAAATGTGAGGATGTTGCTCTTCTTTGTCACGTTGTAATTGAATATCCTCGGTTTGGGTCTGTTGTTCAGGGAAAAGAAGCCATTTTAAATACATCATCACCATTGGTCTCGAGGAATTGTAATGTGCATGTTTCCACATTTTGTTCTGTTTCAAAGTTAGAATGATGATTTGATAAATAGAGAAAAAACTCTCCTATAGTGGAGATGGTTTATATGTGTATGTTTTACATGTTATTTCAAATGTTCTATATCTTAATTTCGTGTTGTGTGAAAGACAAAGTTCCAATACGGCAGAAAATAAAGTTGTATTGGAGAAGTTTGCCTACGGCTGTAATGATGTACAGCTCCTTTAATAATGAATCAAACGTTTGTGAGAGAACTCTTTGTAAGTACGTATTCAATTAGTTCTTAGTACAAAATACTGCTTTTGTATACATAGAAGCTACCACAAACAAAGCCTCTTTCTCCAAAGTCAATGAACTATTGATTAATCCTTTCATTTTTTCACCATTTTCCTCTGCAGGATGTAAATAACATCATGCCTGACGTGCTTATGGTGTAGCCAAATTAAATGCTATATGCCTCTAAGATGTGAGAGGATGATTAACTTGAAGAAAAATTCAACTTGTGGAGTGACAGCAGAACGTGTGGATGCAGTCTTTTCGCTCAAATGCTCATGTTACGTCACTTCTTCTGCTGAATAATAACTTAATGGGTTTTTGGGATGAGTTCTTCCAGTTTTACAGGCCTCTCTTGTGTTTCTGCTCTCACCTCTGTTTCAGAAAGGGGGGGAAAGCAGATCAATAGCCTTCCAAATGCCAGGACTCTTGACATGTACACAGAACACTGTTTACTCTAAATGTAGCTATTTCCAACCACTGACTGGTGCCATTTAAAAAGAAAAAAAAGAAAAATCATTGAAATTTTATAGTTCCCCCTTTCTTCACTTGAAAAATGTTTTTAGTTGGACCAACAAAATAAGGGCTCATTTAAATATTATTGACATATATGTGTGTTATAATATGAGAGGCTTCTCTCTTTACATGGTTAGGCAGTCAACTTCAGTGCAGATTTAAAAAAGTGGCAGCATATGTCCTAGAACAAAACTCTAATCACTACACACAGATTACACTGTAGGTTAACTTTATTGTCCATGGTGGAAATGTGTTTATTTACATCATTCACTTGACATCAGTTGAAATAAATATTCTGAGGCCTTTCAGTAGCCATTAACCTCCACCAGTCTGCCAGCTGGAGGGCTTGGGTTCACTAAATACTTAATACTGTTTGAACGTCAATCATAATTAACTTTATCCGCTGTAGCTATTTCCTGGGGAACAGTAAATTTAATAAAAATAAATGAGTGGGTTTTATCCCGTTTTATTTACTTTAACCTTTCCCATTGTAATGTTCAAACAATTGGATCAATTTTTAACTGTTGGCACACCTATTGTCACTCAGACGCCGTGAGCAGCCCGCACGCACGCGCACATAACCACACTCCCTTCACTATCGGGAGCGAGCGTTTGGCGCACACCCTCCTCTCCTCCCTAGGGCGGAAGTGGGTCCATTTTTTTCACCTCAGTCGGATAAGAGCGGCTCGAGGAGCTGCAGCACGAGCGACACGCGCCCACGAGAGCGCACACCTCATGTTTATGTTGATTCACCTGTGAGCAAACACCGGCAACAATAACGAAGTATGGGACGATATTAAGGTCCTGGCGGTCTTTGGACCGAGTGTTTCCCGGTTGTAGGGGACAGTTTTCCTGCGCATTCCTCCACGCAGAGAGAGCCACGGAGGGAGACCAGAGGACAGACTCAAAGGGGAAGGAGAGCTGGAAGCGGCCTCTTCACAAGGGGGACCGGGGAATCCACCGGCAGAGACTTGAGATTGACGTCCTGTCTGATGTTCTGGGCTGTATCGGAGACTCTCTGTGTTTGTTTTTGATGCCTTAGTGACCCGAGGCACGCTATGAGATCGTTGCTTTGATGAATAATTTACGGTCTCGCTGTCCGAGGCTCGCGCTGCGACTACCCACCGACCGCTGGCTGCGCCCGACGTGGTGGACCAGAGAGAAACGCCACAACGACAACACGGGCCTCAATCGTTGTGAATAAAACAAAACTACATTACACATTGTTTGATAACGTTACTCGCCTGGGTGCTGTTCTGTAGCGCAGAGCCCCGTAGTCATGTTGCCGAGTCAGTGGGGGAGCAGAGACGGAGCCCCCAGTATTTTGACCCTACGGCTCTGCAGTTTCGGGTTTATTTTATGAGCCTCGGCGAAACCGCATCGGACACGACTTCGACTTTTTCCTCCACAGAAGCGCCAGCATCGTCCATTGTTGGTTTTATTTGAAAACAATTATGCGGACGCCCCCCCCCCCCCCTCCTCCCCAAAAAAACGCCTTACACAGCTGAATTGATACGATCTTAACAGCCTATGGATTTCTTTTTATTACCTCTGAAACAATCTTTGAAGAAATTGGCTACCTCATTGTTTTGCATCAGGTCAGAGTTATAAAGACATCTGTGAGTGGATGAGCACCGTTTTTTACTGTTGAACTGACTTTGAAACCTCCATGAATCTACCTCAAATGCAACTTTTTTCCTACAACACATAACGGGCCGATCTGTTCCCAAATGAATACCTCAGCCTTATTTCTGCGCATGTTTTAAAATTAGCCTGTGTTTCCGTAACGCTGCAGATGGCTTCGTTTCCAGACTCGGACCTGCAGACGTGCCCTCTCTGCAAGGAGCTTTGCGGCTCCTCTGCACCTATTTCCTCCAGCTCATCTACCTCCTCATCTTCCTCACATACCTCGTCTTCCTCCAGCCAGACCACCAGGAGGCTCCACGTCCTGCCCTGCCTCCATGCCTTTTGCAGGCAGTGTCTGGAGGGCCAGCGCAGTCCTGGGGACCCGCTGAAGCTGCGGTGCCCCACCTGCGACCAGAAGGTGTCCATCTCTGAGGCCGGGGTGGACTCCCTGCCTTCCTCCAACTTCCTCTTCAGCAACCTGCTGGACGTGGTGGTGAGCTCTGAGGAGCAGATCCAGAACAAGAATGGCCACCACCACCTCCGAGGAGGCTTAGGCGGAGGCTCCAGCTTCCATCTCCCTCATGGAGGCCTGCTGCACCCTCACCACCTGGGAGAACCTCAATGCAGCTCCTGTGACGAGGAGAACCCAGCTACCTCCCACTGCCTTGACTGCCAGGAGTATCTGTGTGACAACTGTGTGCGTGCACACCAGAGGGTGCGGCTGACCAAAGACCACTTTATAGAGCGCCTGGGAGAGAACCTCCACCTGGGCCGGGTCAATGCCAACGGCAACCCAGGGCAGCCTGGGGTGTCGGTGTCCCTCGCCCAGTCCCTCCAGAACAACTTTGCCCTACTGTCCCTGTTTCAGGATCGCATGAGCTTCTGCCAACACCATGACAATGAGGTGAGTAGAGCATAAGAATAAAACAGAAGAAGGGCTGTTCATATGAATAACACATTTTAGAAATGATAAAAATATATGCATGTACTTCATACTAGTGTATTTGTTGAGCGCACACACACTCCCATAATGTGACAGGATTGTGTGTGTAGTTTAGAAACATACTGGGGTCCATATGGCCTTAGGCCTTAGGTTCAAAGGGAGCTGAATGGCTCTTCACCTAGTTCCCTGGAGACCAACAGGCATGTGTGCTGAGCTGGATTTATACGCACACAGACCCAGCGTGCACGCACACACTTATAAGCATAGACACATGCAGAGTCTGCTTAATCTGAACCACACCATCCAGTCTGGGCAAAGAGAGGCCCCTGTAACTGCACACATGTTTCTATGAATGTTAGAAGTCCTATCCATGGACATATTATGGAGATCTAGCATTTCTCTGATAATGGCAAAGACAAGTTGGAACTGGGGGCCCAAAGTTCCTTTTTTCCTACCATGTGATCTGGGCAACGTAAACTACAAAGGCCTGTAAAACAGGAAACCAGCTTTTCTTGGTTTAGTCATATGGTCAGGAAGAATAACAAATAGCATTGGTAGGGGGTCTTGGAATGTCATTTTTGTACCACTTCTGGTTTCTGTTGAGGAGCTCAGAAGTTCTTGGTTTTAACAGCAGCTGGTGATAACCAATTGTCCTCATTTTGGTTCCACCGTAGAAGCAAATCATTTTTGTAAACTCAATTTGGATGATGATCTTAGTGTATGGGCCACAGCTTGCAAGTTGGCAGGACTTTTTAGTGTGAGAGAGGAAAAAAAAAAATAGTATGTAAATTAAAGCTGCCCTGTGGAGTTCTCTTGTAAACAAACAAAATTTGTGTTTATATTCAGTGTTTCTCACCAAAATGCACGGTGTGCAGCTTTGAGGCATAATAAACACATATCCTTCCTTATAAAACATTTGTGAATTATGACATTACACGCATATTTGCTAACTTAGTCTTCTTCCTTGCCTTTTCAGGCACATTGCTATGCTTCTTGGCATGTTACAGCCACCTATCAGTGAATTATTAGTGAAATAATATGAAACCATTGGCAGGAATGTGTATTGTGTTACCCACGTGCTCTTCTGTGAATCTTTGTGCGTCCACGACAAACAAAACGGAGACCCACTCCTAAAAACATTGCTTGATAGCACCACTAGTGGTCAAATACTCATTGTTAAAGATGCCCTCAGCTGGAGGTATGTGAGAGACAAGAGAGAGCCTGCTGCTCTGAATCTTTATGTGTGAATGAGGCATTATATAAGATATCTTAAACATTGATTCTGTGCACACAGAGGGTATGCAGTGAACCAGATGAAAATTGGTGGGTTTGAAAACAGGAGCAGGATGGCTTGTAGTGTTGGGGGCGAACACATTATTTTTTTTAATTTTTTTAGCCAAAGTGAACCATGTAAAAACACGTAGTGTTGAAATGTTGCCTTGCACATTCACCAATGAAATTCTATGTTCCTTTTTTTTGCAGTCATACGATAAAGCTCACCCTTCTTTTACGTCAGTTAATTTGGTGTAAAATGTGCTGAATACGAATAAACAGAGATCAATAAATGAGTTATTCTGTCTGCAGTTTTCTAAACATTAATTTAGCGCTAAGTCACAAAAGCCCAGTTCAGATTTCCAATTAATTTTATTTTTCTGTGACCCCCCCCCCCATACACACCCTTGTCCATTGCCAGTAAATAGGTGGGTTCAGCTTCCCAGTAAGGGCTTCATTTCCCATAAAAGCCTCACTCACTCGCTCACTGGGCTTCAGCCCTGGGGGAGGGAATGACACAGGAGAAGGCTTGTCTTTCTTTACCTATGTGCGCTGAGCAAGCAGACTCATTGTCCGTCACCCTGCTCCTCATCCATCATATGTTGAAATGGTTTCTCATAAACCCAGTCTGTTTTAAAAGACCAGTTTTGGCCTTTTTAGGATTTTTAAATTTGGTAATGATGGGTCAAGTGGAAATCCTTCTAATCTCTGTTTGTTCGGTCAATCCCCAGTTTGCTTATCCAATGCAAATTTACCTAATGCGCACAATGCCATTTCTTAGTTTGTGTTGGAGTCTTTCGTAAGGAGCCCAGTATACTTTGTCAGTGTGGCTGTGTCCTGTTGTTGTTGTTGTTGCATTGCAGCTTGTCATTTAAAATTTTGGCTATAAGTTTTGCTATCCTTTCATCTTATTTAATCAGATTTGCAGTAGCGCAAAAACAGTTGGCTGGTTTGTTCAGTTACTCTTTCCTTGTTGTTTTCTTTCTTTGGATTATAGACTACTGACTAGTTGGTTTCTCTCACGCAAGCCCAGAACATACATGCATGTCTGCAGTCAGCTGGCTGTCAGCTGCAGCCTTTGCTGTGTATTCAAGTGCAACTCTTAACAGAAGACACAAGGCGCTACATCCGTTTTTGTCTGGGCTACATCTTTGAGGTCCGAGCGGTGTGTCAGGGCCCTCATACCAATATTAGAGGACAGCGTAGAGTGACTTATGGAGAGGGTTTTTTCACAGGAGCTGGGATCTGTCCCCTCTGTAGTGTTATGTAAGCTTGCCAAGGAATTTCTCCGCTCCCAGGAGATTGGTGGCGACGATGGTTATTCCTCACTGCTCAAACACCTAAACAACAGATTTTGTTAGGGTGCTGTGGGAGTGTTCAGTCTCTCTGTCTAAAAGTGGTACTAGAGTTAAAACAAAATCAGTAAAGGGTCAACTAAATGACGAGTCACTTACCTCTTTTAACTCTCAAACTAGGGATGAGTCACAATTTCCAAAGAGTCTTAAATGATAAAAATTTTATGGAACCATCGTATTAAATTATTAAAAATATTTTCCTTGTTTTTACTGCCGATCTTTGAAGAATGGTCGAATAGTTCCCAGCGACAATAGAGTAGTATTTTTGCTTGAAATGCTCATTCTTGCCACAAACGCATAGGGAAATGGTCATTGGATTCGGAAAAGGGCACAACAAGAAGATATTTAGCATAGGTGTAATTAAAAACGTTAACAATGGCTGTATTTGATATGTTCCACCTTGCAGCCCCTGCTACTTTGCATGTTTGTTCAAAATATAGTGGAACCATAAATAAATGCTATCAGCTACACCTGAAGTCAAAATGTCTGCTAGGGTTGGGCCGATAGTCGATACCATCGTCCATCAGCAATGGCTGACAGATGGTGGATGGTTGAGCAGTCATCGTGATTGTAAAACCCCGCCCCCCGGCAAAAAAAATCTAAATTTTTCACATAATGCCGGGACGTGAAAGCAGATTTTAATCACCACAAATGTTTTGCACCGTCCTCGGATCCACTGGCTTGCCCCGCCTCTCTGTCTCCCCCCCTCGCCCGTCTACTCCACTTTCTCCATCGGCAGTATGTTTTATAAAGTCGCCTAAAAGACACAGAACTTGTTCTTTTCCATATTTTTCCACCCTTGATCTTTTATTACGGCAACAGGTGGACCGCTTGTGGGCTTGTTAATGATGCAGCCTATCAAACAACCGAAACCAATATCGGCACCCTGTGTGTTCATTGCTGCTTTACCCGGTCCGTGCTTGTAAAATTACCACGTTTTTAGCCGAGTAAAGTCTGTGCGAGTGAACACATGCACATTAAACAACCACCATCCCCCCCGCATGCACGCCCTTATGCCATCATCCATCCCGATGTTTTGATGTAGACCAATGGCCCAACCCTAATGTCTGCTGTGAAAAAGTCCTTTTTAAAAGTGGAAATCAATCCTGACAGTGTAAAATGACATCTTAATGATAAGACCTGACACTTTTGACAGCTCTGTGCTGCAGCTTCACAAGTTAAGCCTAGTTCACACTACATGATTTTAACCCCGATTTGCTGGTCGGCGAGCTCGGTGACCGTCGGGCAGTGATCAGAGGTGAATCAGTGATCGATCGGCGGTCGCCACTCTTTATGTGTGAACAACTCAAGGACGCGTCAAAGCGGCTCCCCGACACATTTCTGACACATCGCCGACGTCTGCCATAAATACATTTACAATCAGCAGCACTTGTTCAGAGTCTTCACACATTCACAAACATGTTACTGCCGATTTCGAAGTCCCATCTCATATCTACTATGGTGAACATGATTGAAGTGCACTATCCAGCTCAGCACACATGCCTGTTGCATCACAGCCACCTACAAAAAGAAGCTGCTGCTATGTGACCACAGCACCTGCATGCGAATGGGAAATAATTAGTCTTAAAACCAGTTGATCCCGATCGATATGAGATTTTTAAGTCCCATACAGATTTTGATATTTGAGGATTTTAAAATCTGAGATATATATCCGCCGATATTCTTTACCCCCCTTATTTTAAGAAACTCATAACATAAGCAAAGATTATCCCTAACCTTTATGTTGAGACCTCATCAAGATATCATGATATAATGCAGTTTAAAAATAAACTTATATTGTTAGAAATAGTACTTTGAACAAAGTACAACAAAATATATAAAAGTTTTGAGAAATAAGAGTCAAATATATAAAACTACAGAAAACATTTTTAAAATATCTAATTTATTATAAATTATAGACGACGACTACTGAACATTAAATAGTGTATGTATTGTGGGGGCCAGCGAAATGGAAACGATAAATACCAATATAGGACTACTACTAAAAATTATAATACTATATATTATAATTTTTAGTAGTAGTATCTCTGTGTGTGTGTATAAATATATATTAGGGCTGGGCACATTATCGCGTTAACACATTAATTAACGCCGACAAATATTTTATCGCACGTCAACGCAGTTTTTATTTTATTATTAGTTTGAAAGTCCGTTGCTCACTGGCTCTATATACACATACAGTCAAACCCTGGGTCACAGGAGGGGCGGGATGTTGATCAGACTGCAAATCACCCACCCAAACATGCAGCTGAGGGAGGCTTCGGCAGACTACGCTGTCATCTTTTTTCCATATTTTTCCACCCGCGATCCATC